GCTATTTTACCCTTATAATTTATAATTTTTATTTAATATATAATTTTAATCAATTGGATATGAATTTTGTAATGCAAAAGAAAAGGGTAAAAGTTCACACTTTTTTACTCCGGAAATGTAATTTCACGCTTTTGATATTTGTTTTTAAACTGTAAAATTTTTGAATTTGGACTAAAAGAAGTGTGAAATTTAACTCTTTTTTTTTATATATAATTTCATAAATCTCTGTTAAATATGAAATTATGTAACAAAAAGTAGAAGTTCAAACCTTTTTGTTATAAAGTATGAAATTTTGAACTTCTAAAAATTATTTTAAGAAGTGTAAAAGTACATAGTTTGTTTTTTTATCAGCGAAAGTTAGTTGTTAGTTGTTAGATTAAAAGTTCACTATTTATGGAACCAAAAAGTGAGAAATTAACTTGTTTTACATAATTTCATATATCTTTATTGAAAATTCACAATGTTTGGAACCCAAATTCTCAAACTTATAATTTTTGTTCCTAAAAAGTGTGAAATTTTTACAATTTTAATACTAAATAAGTACAACAACATAACAAGTGTTACGTGCCAGGATTATTCTACCCATGTGATAAAGGTGGATCTCGTACAATTATTAGATTAGTTTATACATGTATTTGGGTTAAGATAGTAGAGTTCGGAACCTGCTAGGAAACTTAAATATGTAGGATTGGTTACCTAATTGTATGAAACTAGGATTCTCATGGGTAGACTATTATAAATAGTCATGTAGACTATAAGATTTTCTGAGTGAGAGATTGAGGTAAGAACAAATGGAAATGTGAGGAATAAGAGAAAAAATATCGTGGGCACTAAATGAGTAAAGGCTCAACTACCCTTGAGTATGTGATTCGGGTAGTAGTGTGGGTTTTGAGTGCTTTGGGCATCTCATATGTATTCTCTATTTTATTCATAGTGGAAACTCTCTCTTTCATAGATATAGGCAATTTAGGCCGAACCAGGTAAATCTATGTGTGATTATTTTTCTCTTTGGTGTGTACATGGATGTGCTTCCGTTTGCGTTGGTGGGATATGGTATAAATCCCAACAAGTGCTATCCTCTCTTATGATTGTTGATCCTATGATTGCTGATCCATTCACAAAGACATACAAAGAGCATGTTATTAGGATGGGTTTTTTAAGCAACCCTTGATGTGTATGGTTAATCGTGAGTACTTATTTCTATTTGACAGTATTTGCGCAATAATAATTTTGTTTATATTTTTCTTGTTTCTAAAAGTGTGTGTACACATTAATTTGAATATTGATAAACATAAAATGTTTTAACAAGACAAATTGCAGGGGCCTTTCAGGCAAATAATTACATATTCCAATAATGGACTGGGTTGGTGAAGGTTATTAATGGTGTAGTGCATAGAAGGAAATATGACATAAATGTTATATAACCGATATGACTCACATTGGTGATCTGAAGTAATCACAGTATTGTACTTTCTAATATATCTGAACTTATTGGTTATTTTTAAAATTCGTGATCATGTGTCAAAGTTTTTAGTGTGAAATCCAATGAGTCAAAAATTTTATAAATTGCATTTTTTTTGAAAAAACTCATAATTGCATCATAATCTGCTTAATGGGCCAAGTGGGAAAATGTTGGATTTATTTTCTAGTGTGGCCCAATAGCCTACATATATCTACATGTTTTAATTTATTTGGACTTCACAATTAGATAAAGTCAATATTTGATATAAAGTTCAGTAATTAGAATTTTAATATAATTACTCTTCTAAGATAAGAAGGAAACCTTGATGGATATGAATTCTTCTGATAGAGTTTATTTGGCCCTCTTCTCTCCTCTATATAAGGATGGGTGACTCCCCTTTCATATCATGAGTATTTTTCCATCACTCTAAGTCTTATAGTCATCCTAATTAAGAGAGACAGAGAGAAGAAATTGAGCCAAAAATTAAAGGTTCAACTATAAGGGTATTTTTTCAACTTTTCTAATTCAATGGTTGATTATTATAGTTATATGTATTATTGAATCTTACAGCTTCACCCTTGGCTTCCACCGGGATCAATTAGTGCCTCCTACCTTTCTCATGCAAGTAATCATAAAATTGCCTCTACATTTTATAATTCATTGCCATGCCCATTTGTTTTCTTCAATTTGGATTTTGAATTTTATGACTGCTGGGTACTATACCTCATGATTAGCACTCCACAGTTCATTAATGTAATCTCATCTTTCTCGGATCCATTCACTTATATGGATTGATATTAAAGCATTAGTATTTTGATTGCACTGCATTCTCTCTGCTGAAGTATTTAAAGGATTCATTATGGTCAGTTAATGTGAATATGCATATCGCTCATGGTTTCCTTTGGTCTTTCGTTTGTTTGTTTATTTAAATCAATGTTACATTTTGAAACAAATGTTTCAAAACTTAGTACACTTTCGTTCAAAAGCTAGTAAATTTATCGATCTAAAATTATCCCAAAAGTTTTACCTATATCTTTCTTAAAGGTTTCCTTACAGTGAAAAAATAATAATAAAAATAAGAAATTAAGTGTAATAAACTAAAATCTAAAGTGAATGGATCCGAGAAAGATGAGATTCAAAAACATGGGTATGAAAGTTTATATAACAAATTTTTATATAAAATTAAAAGGTTAACCAGACAAAAAGATAAACTATGGAGTTTTGTCAAACAACCAAGCAAGCTCTATTAGTTTGAAACCAAACAAAAAGATTAAAACCATTTGTGGCTGTAGATTTTCACCTTCATGTTATTTTATTTGTGATTGCAGTTTGTTATGTTCAATTTTATAGCAAATGGAAGCTAAAGAAAGTATTTTGTGAAATGGGGTTCATTACGTGATTGGTTGATATGATGTATTATTTCTTTCAAAATACTTATGTGATAAAAAGTAAGGCCCGAGTTTAATGTGATCGAACATTTAGCATTTCGGGCCGGGCCACACATGAAGAGATTTCTTGAATCTTTTTTCGTCACATGAATATCAATAAATGAAAGGTACATCATGTCAGTGGCTATATGACATACTTGTTGCATAAATTATAATGTTGTCAAGATCACGAAATTCTGAACAAAGTTGTGACTCTACACAAAAATTATAGAATCGTTCTAGTGTGACCTTTGTGACAAGAAAGTATTTTGTGTATCGGATAATCTAGGATAGTGTACCTCTCTCTTGCATGCATGTGGGCTGTATCTTTGCTTTATTTTGATAAATTATAATCCATTCAACAAAATCATTTTCTTCTTTACTCATTTACTCATTTAACCTAAAAAAATACTATGGATTATGAAATTTTACTCCGAATCTTAACTTGAAAGTATATGTGTGATGAACTCCACCTCCATTACCGCCGTCGACAGCTCTTCCCCACCACTGCATCTCCTCCCTCCACCGTCATCTTTTCCCGCATCTTCTCTTGCCTCTTGAAGGAGAACACGACTACTATTTTGGTCTTCCATTAGAACAAGTCTCATAGAAGAGGATCAAGCACTAGGTGCCTCTGGTCTACCCTTAGGTGTGTTTGTTTGGACAGACTGGATAAGGAGAGATTATAATTCATCGGACTGTTAGTTTTGGAATACACTGTCCCTGGACTATTTGGTTGGACTGGATTTGTATTCTATGTTTGTTTAGTCATGGGATTGGATGTTTAGATTGAACTATTTTTAGTAAATCCAATGTTTGGTTGGACGAACTGGATAAGGATAAATGTTCAAAATATCTTTACAAATCTAGAATGAAAGTCATTTACCAAATTACAAATAGAGTAAAATATATATATCTATTTGGAAACTACTCTAAAATAGCAGAAGAGAATTGGTATTTTAGGAAGATCGTTGCAGCAACTGAAAATTAAGAAGGAAATGGATATGTCAAATGAGATGCTTACCAAATCTAGTGACCTGTTGTTATATATAAGAAAGAAGGACTGGTACTCCTTCTCAGGCCGTGGATACCTTTGAAAGATCGGTTGAAAAATATTACATCACTAAAAAAAATTTTAAGGCCTTAATTTATAATTTATATTTTTTATTTTTTATTTAATATATAATTTTAAATTAACAACACTAAAAAAAATAATTTATAAATGTTCAAAAGACTATTTTATCATTTTTCAATTATTTATTAAGTAATAGAATGAGGGTAAAATGGACATTTCACACATTAGTCTCATGGGATACCAATCCCATGGAAATAATCTCACCCTTCCCCTAAGATACAATAATCTCTCATATGAGGGACTAATAGTCCGAAGAGACTATTAATTCAGAGAAAAAAAATTAAACCAAACAATAGACTATTAATCCGAATGGACTAACAGTCCAATCCCATGAAATAATCCCTCAAAACAAACACTCTCTAAGCGCTTTACAATATTAATGTAAATCTTTTAATTTTTTTTATTCTTAAAAATATATAATAAAAAAAACATATATGTGACATATAACTATTGGTTCATCTAATCCATATGTCATTTGAAATTTTGAAAACTTTTAAATGAAAAGTCCAACATATAATTTTATTTATATTTAAATTACATCTCATTTGAAATTTTAAAACCTTTGAATAAAAAGTTCAAAATAAAATTTTAGTTATCAAATTTAAAATTTTGAAAAATAGAAAATTTTATTGAGATTCACAAAAAAATGTCAAAGGATAAAAAAATAATTAATTATAAATTGGATGAACTGACATAAGACAAGCTACCATTACGAAACGCTAAGGACAAAATTATTTATATTTTACTGTAAGATAACTTTCGTGTTTATCTTATATTTTGCTTTTTATATTTATCAGTTATGTTATAACACGTGTTTTTGTTATTTAATATTTAGGGTGCACCATTAATAATAAGACAATAAAAAATAAAAATAAAAATTAAGACTCACATATTGGTTTTAAAATGGAGAGTGGAGGGTCCGGTGGTGAAACAAAAGAACAAAGTGATTAGAAGGTTGAATGGAGTTAAAGCAAGAATGATCACTGTCTTTGTGGATAACTTACCAAAATCCATTGATCCAAAAAGCCTATTTACATTGTTCAATAAGTTTGGAGTTGTAAAGGATGTCTTTATTCCAAACAGAAGGAGAAAGACATTCAATACAAGGTTTGGTTTTGTGAGGTATGACTGCACAGTGGCTGCTACTGCAGCAATTCAAAAGGCGAATGGGTTGTGGGTGGATGATAGAGTGCTAAAGGTTACGAAAGCTGATTTCAATAGTGAACAACGCAGAGTGATGAAACAGAGTACTCTTGGAGCTACAAATACGTCCAAACAAAAGGTTGCTTTTGAGGGTCAGGGTGTACAAAATAACAAAGGAGCTAGGAAAACGTTTGCAGAAGCTCTTATTGGACAAAGGGAGGTAGGCCAAACAAGGCTATTATTGAAAGCACGGGAGGTGGGAACGGATGGCTGTATGAAAGTGTGATAATTAGATTACATCATCATGTCATGAAGGCCGAATTCAAACATGAATCTCATGTTAAGAGATTGAGGAAAGGTAAAATCAGAGATGGTGGAGGTAGGGATATTGTTATCACTTTCAGCTCAACCGAGGAGAAAGTTGAAGGAGTGAGACTAATGCAAGGATGGCTAAATGAGTGGGGTGAATTTGTGTTTAATTGGAAAGCTGGAATGCATATTGAGTAAGAGAGATATACTTGGATCTCATGCTATGGAGTTTCATTGAATCTGTGGAGTGCAGAAACATTTACTTTTATTGGAAGATTATAGAGGGAAGTGGTTGGGTTGGATGAAGATATTGGTGACCCGTGTAGACGCGCCCGCGAGGGGGGGCCTCGCTACTACAGTTCGGACTCGATTTTGTGTCACGGTTCTTAATCTGAACCAAAGAGTCCAAATCTGACAAATCGTTTTGAGAAACAGATTTTTTTTTTGAAAAGAAATGCCAAACATGGACTGCTTTGCCAGATACAGAGTCACCACCTAAATATTTTTTTTTATGGGGAATTTAGGAAACCCTGACTCAGTGCCGAAGGCCACATGTCCGTCATCACCAGAGTTGCCTCGGCTCGGGAGCTAGGGTACGATTAGGGAAGGTCAGCTATGAGCACCCCCTCTCGCCCGATCCGAAGATCGGCCTCAACTAACCGTGATATCCGTTTTTGAAAACATTAAGTGTTCTTATTCCATTTATTAACCTAGAATTACTATGTTATGCGCACAGCAAACAAGTATAGACTAGATTGCCTAATTTGGAAATAAGCATTGCATATCCGTTTGTCTTGGAAAGATGTTTTGGAATTTGCTACTCGCAAGTAGGCTAAAACACGGATTTCAACGAGTGTTTCCAACTCAGGCAACCCAATCTTCACCCACAGGCATTCAAACAGTTTATCACATAAGCATCTAGCCACATGGTAAAGCATACTGTCATGATAGCATTCACACGCATGAGATATGCTAAAGCATAAATGCTTACCGAGTACTCCGAGCCAAAACAATAAACTAGTTAGCCAACATGCATGGTCCTAGTTCATGTCAAATTGACTAATGCAACACATGCAGGATGCAATTAGAATAGGCTCGGCTAACCTAAACATGGCATATGAAAATGCACAAGTAGCATGTATTCAAGTTAGATTTGAATTACTAATGCAGTTAACATGATGCGCCGAGCCCGGTGCATGCAAATTCTTATCCAACTTTAAGTTTGAAAACAAGGTCAGAGTCTGGCCACGTAATTAAAGACATAATAACTCATCACTAAAATACTTTCGAAATGCATAATGGATACACTTGTTGGTGCTGATTCAAAGTCAACAAAAGATTTCCATACTTCACAAATGATACTGATATACATTTTAGTGCTATATCAAATCAGACAAACACTTCCATACTCACAAATGATAATGATATACATTTTAGTGTATATAAATCAAAAAACACTTCCATACTTCACAAATGATAATGATATACATTTTAGTGCTATATCAAATCTCAAACAAAATCCGGTTTAGAGGTCCATCCCCATCTCTCTCTCGGGG